AGAGGTTTCACATTTTTAGTGATTACTACATCACAAAATCCATTATTGAATTAATAGTTTCGAAGATAAGCAAATAAGCAAAGATGTGGAAAAATGAATGTCCAACATCTGTGACTAGAATGAGATAAAAAAAATTTGTCATGAAAATGATATTTTATATATGATTATGTTTTGTCTTCGAATTTGCTTCGATCGGTTGATGATAAAGATCCTTGATAATAAAGACTAAAGAGATACTAATACTGGTCATTTTGGAATACCTTTAATATCATGTCATTAAGTCTATTATGAGTTTATATGCTATTTTGTCATTCTTTTTTTATGAATCTGCAAAGAAAACACCAATTACAATGTTAGTAATCTTTACGATGGTGGATTCTCATTTTCTATTTTCCATGATCATGCATGAATATAAGAGAAGAGAAGATCACTTAAATTTAACCTTTATTATACTACAACTGGCCAACGGGTCGGGGTACGATCTAGTTTATTATTCAAACTTTGTATGATAGGAGGGCTGTCGCATTTAGTTTGATTGTGGATAGAAGTAACAATCATGTAAAACAATAAGAGTCACTTGACTCGCTTGTACTGTCACACTAGAAAGTGGCCAAGTTTAACCACATACTAATGCATAGTATAGCGGGTTTAGATTTAAATGTCAACCCGGGTCCTAGGTGTGATGACTACTCCATGAAATTCTTATTATTTAGCGGTTCAACTGTAGTGAAGTCCAACTAAACTAGCAAACAAAAGCAGTAAGGTTGTGTTAGAAGTTTGAGAGAGGTCACCCAGATATGGTTCCCCCTAGACCGCAGTTAAGCCAAGTTGTAATTCACCCAGTCCAGTTTCAATGATAATTATACTGCGGAAGGTTCTTAGACAGTCTGAAGTCTCGACTAAAGGCCTCCAGACCCTCTCAATATGAATCCCCAGCGGGCGACTAACCTCCACCGGAGTAAACAGATAGAGGCCCTAACGTACCAAACCTCCCCTACTCGAGTACATCCAGTACAGAATAGTGAACCGACTCCTCGACTAAAGTTGTCAATTCACTACCTTCAATTAAGGGTGCTCTATCAACCTTGGGAGATATTCTCTTTCTAGGTCAAAGTAGGAACTATAGGAATTTCATCAGATTCATGCAATTCAGAAAATCATGCCTCAATTGAATATAATCGATATCAAAGAAATGTGCTCGGGTTCATAAAACCAAACCTAACATACAAATCTAGGGTTCTTCATACCCAGGTGAGTGAGAGAGTTTACTCCATATAGAGAGGAGAGAAATCTACTTCAGATGCGGAAATCATTCTGTGAAGGATGAAAATCTGCTTCTGGGAATCAATCGACACTTCTCCAAGCTTCCACCGAGCTCCAATAGTGATGGAGATCGATTTAGGGCGCTTGGAAGTTCGGTTCGTCGCTCTCTCTAGGTTTTCTGCTTTCTTTCTCTAAAAATCGGATTCTCCCTCAAAAGAGGCTTTCTTCCCTTCAAAAGGGGCAGATCGCGATACCCGGCCTTAATACCCGGTCGAGTATTTCAGATGACCGGCTGGGTGTTTTAAAACGTTGCGCAACGGGAAAGGGGAAATACCCGACCGAGGTTCAGAATACCCGATCGGGTATTTAAGCCTCCTGGCCGGGACCCCTTCTGCTTCTTTGGCCTCCAAAATGCCTTTACTCGGTCGCCTCCTTCTCATATACCCGGTCGAGTATTTCAGTGCCTGACCAGGTACTTTTGGCTGACAGCTCCTCTTGCTCCAACTTTCCACTTTTCGACCCGAAACCGTTTCCACTCCTCCAAATCCACGCCAAGTCCTGAAATATGACATAAACGAACAACCTAGCGTGAAATCGGCCTATAACCCGAGAATCGAATTTCAAACGGTTCAAGAATGGTGGTCAAAACATGTGCAAATAATGGTCTATCATCACTACTTCATCGCCATTTTAAAGATCATATTCACGATCATCTGCCCTTTGATTGACCAACAGTTTTCAACTTCATATGTAGTACATAACTTTTCATTGATTTTGTCTTTCCAGTATCTATATGTCTGGGTCAAATATTGTTAGCGTGTAACATTTCTATCGGCCTCGTGATACAAATTCACGCAGATAATTCAAATTACCATATGTAATTATCGAATCATAGCTATTTCAATATTTCTCCACTTGATGAATGTATACCTGAACAAAGATAGTAATTGAACATTTTGGCGGTAGTAGAATGCTCAATAGATGGTGAATTGGTCCATAATTGATATGCAAAATACATGTCTGTCATTCAAATAATGATCTATCTTTTCACTCAATAATTAAAGTCAAAGATACCATTGTTGTGCATAGTTATTTTTTTTATTATGAACTTTGTATATTGAAATAACATCAGCACGACAGTAACTGTAGTTGAATAAGGTCGAAGAGTGAAAAATTCACATATTTGGTAAATAAGCACCTAAGAATTAAACATGGTTTAGATAAATGAAAATGAGAGACTGTTACATATCATGAGCATGTAATTAAGGTGTAGTGGTAGTCTTATACTACCAATGTATACATATATAATTGTGTATTATCTTTAACCTTTTAAAACATATATAACCAAAATTAGTCATAGAGACACTCTGCTTCCACTTTAAAATACCATACAATATTAATTCAATATTAAAAAAAATCTAAATAGTAGTGACAATAGTTGTAATGTTCCTCTGTATAGTTTACTCCCCATGATCATTATAAATACAAAAAATCAAGTTTTATCTTTGTATCATGCGATTGAGTTCCCTCATAAACATTCTAAAGAACAACTTACAAGAATTAATTGATGGCTAGCTTAAAGTAATTGATGAATTTTATTGGAAAAGGAAGCTTTACTATTTAGAATTTTATTGTTATCTTTTAGTATATAAATATAAAAATGTATTAGTACACATATTTATAGTAGTACATACAAAATAATAAAATATTACATTGTTGGTGTGATATATTATCAAAGAAGTTTGTCCTTTGATTTCTCATATTTTTCAACTTAAAATGAACATGAAATAAACATTAATTAAGTTTTTGGATTTGGATAGTAATTGAATTTTGCCTATTCATTTTATTATTTCATTTACGGTTTTGTTCAAATATTTTTTATTGAACATATCATAAAAAAATTAAACATAAGTTATGTTTATTTATTAATAATTTTGTAGATGGATATAAAATATAATAGAGATTTTCATTGGTATAATTTATGTCAAATGCTTTTATAGTTGAGTCGAAGGTCAACTGGTAAAGAAAGAGATCACATTAAAGGTTAGGTGTTAAACTGTCTCATGAGATGAGTAGTAATCTTCTTGTTGTTGATAGCATCAAATAGAAATTATCACATTGGTTAAACATAGGGAGTGAGCAACGAGACGGGACGGGACGAGATACTCATCGCATTTGAAACGAGTACCCAATCTCATTTGGACGACAAAGACCATCACATATCCCAAACACATAAAGGTTAACAGATACCCGATACCCATACAGGACGGATAACGGATTTTCATTTATACCCGTTTATACATGAAAAAATGCTTTCACTATATATTCTATGTTAATTTCGAGCAATCAATGACTAACAATAATGCTCAGAGCGCCCTCAAACATGTCATCTGACATATCAGATTCTGAAGTAAGGGAAGGAGCATAATCAGGGTCCACAGTTTCATGAACATTGTGGTCTGTGGGCAGAATGAGAGTGGTAAATGTTTTTCCAGTGAAGTGTGTTGGAATGGGAATGGTAGTGTTTGGTTGTGTGGTACGATGGTTTACAGGTTGTTGTGGAAGTTTGAAAGGAAAATAATTCTCATTAAAAATGACATTTCTGCTGTCAAAGACATGAAGAGCTTCATATCATAAGTGTTTTTTAATATACGAGGTTATTTAAAATGAATATAAAAGATTTATAATATAAATTATGAATCAAAATTATAAACAATAAAAAGTACTCAAAATGGATCTTGTTAGATTTCTTTTATTTTAAATAATTTGATTTTATAATTTATTTTACTTTTAAAATAATATAAATGAAAGAAAACTATATTTTCTGCAATAAAATTAAAATATGGTAAGGATAATCTTGTATTTTAAGAATAACTTTTCGCATAAGCTATTATGTTATACAAATCACTTTCAGCTTTTTAAAAGCCAAGCTTTTAGAGGTGTTTGCCCTACTTCACCTTTTGAAATCGAAAATCACTTTTAAAAGCCAGACCAAGCATATATCTCATGCGCGAGGCGGTGGAGATTTTTTAAGAAAGCCATGTTTTGGGCTTTTAGTCTAATAATAAATAATGGTCATCCAATTTATTATCGCGCGGCTCTCCCATCCCATCTAGTATATTTAACATTTTAGTTGTACCGTAATTTAGACTTTTAGCGAGCTGATAGCAATTTATTCAAGGCAAAATATACTTGTATAGCCATGACTTTCACGTTTGGGCACGGTTCTGCTGGGCACGGTTCGGATTGGAGACGTCGCCGCGAGGAGATGGCGGATTGAGATTTCAGATTGGTCGCCGTTGCGTTGGTCGGGAGAGGAGGAGAATAAAGAAGGTCGTCATTGCGTTGGCCGGGGATAGGAGGAGGAGAAGAAAGAATAGGAGGATGAGGGGAGATGGTTGTGTGAGTTTCTGCTAGGTCGGCGAGAATAAGGAAAAAAAATTAAGTATATATTTTTTATTAAATTATGACTTGTCATCTACTGGTAATATTATTCTTATATGTCACCGACGTGGAGGATAATTTGGATCCTAGTAAGCCTAATGTGAATGTAACTGACAGAGTCGCTAACACCGTTATAGTTTCTAACGGAAATGGTTAGATTTGTCAAACTACCATCCAATTTTCTGGCTGTTTTGTGTTTTTCGATAGTTATGGCTATATATGTCACATGAAAATTATGGTTGTGGAATTGTATTTTACCATTATTCAATTATGAAAGAGAGCTAGTGCGATCTATTGAGCTCATTTCATTCACATTTGTCCTTCTCCTTGGTCCTTGCCCAACTCTGGAAATGGAGTTCCTGTGCAACTCGGTTGGGCTCACAGCTCTAGCTGTGATCTCGTCTCTTGTTTTGCTGCTGCATATCCTCCCAAGGAAGCTGCAAAACCAGAAGAAGAAGAAGAAATACCACCCAATTGGCGGCACAGTCCTGAACCAGCTCCTCCACTTCAACAAGTTGCACCATTACATGACCGACCTCGCTTCCAAACACTCCTCTTACCGCCTTCTCGGAGCTTTCAGAACCGAGATTTACACCTCCGACCCTGTTAATGTGGAGTACATCCTCAAGACCAACTTCGAAAATTACGGCAAGGTTTAATTTGCTTTTCTTTCTCCCTTCTCCATTAGCCTGTTCCGGTGGCAAATATGTATGCGAAAGGTTGAGTTTTTGGATGGTGGGTTTGCTCCTGTGACTGATTTCTGCAGGGAGACTACAATTACAGCAATTTGAGTGATCTTCTGGGCGACGGGATTTTCACGGTAGATGGGGACAAGTGGCGGCACCAGAGGAAGGTTTCAAGCTACGAGTTCTCCACTAAGGTTTTGAGGGACTTCAGCAGCGTGGTGTTCCGGAGAAATGTCGTGAAACTTGCCGATATTATCTCTGAAGCTGCGACGTGCAATCAGCCCATGGATATACAGGTGAGTGGGAGCTAGATAGATAGATATAACCCAACTTTTACTTTGTTCCTTTTCTTAGCAAGAAAAGTAATCATAAGCGGGTGGTTGTTGGTTCATTGTGTGCCTTTGTTGCAGGATCTGTTCATGAAATCAACTCTGGATTCCATATTTAAGGTTGCATTTGGGGTTGAACTCGACAGTATGTGTGGGTCGAACGAGGAAGGCAGGGAGTTCAGCAATGCTTTTGATGATGCTAGTGCCATTAGCCTTTGGCGGTATGTTGATGTGTTTTGGAAGGTGAAGAAGTTCTTCAACATTGGAAGTGAAGCTACATTGAAGAAGAAGGTTAAGATCATCAATGATTTCGTCTATAAGCTGATCAATAGCAAGATACAGCAAATGAAGACCCAAACGAATCGTTCCTCAGTTAGTATTTATTATTACACAACTCTAAGTTTGTTTAGCCATTTCATGCAATTGAGTTCATCGCTGGGTTACTCTACCGTCTTTATGCATGTTACAGATGAAGAAGGATGACATCTTGTCAAGATTCTTGCAAGTCACGGAGGTCGATACAACATACTTGAGAGACATCATTCTAAACTTTGTGATAGCTGGAAAAGACACAACTGCTGCCACTCTGTCTTGGTTCATATACATGCTGTGCAAGCACCCTGATGTGCAGGTCAAAGTTGCTGGAGAAATCAGGGAAGCTGCTACCACTACAAGTACTACTTCTGACACGAAAAAGTTGAGCAACTTCGTTGAATTTGCTCAAAGTGTGACTGACAAAGCTCTTGAGAAGATGCACTATCTTCATGCAGCTATAACCGAGACTCTCAGGCTCTATCCGGCTGTACCAGTGGTGAGATATGGTTGGTTCACAGTTTTTGTTCATGTATCAGTTTTGCAGCAAAACTGGCTCCCGAAGAATTTTGTAGTTATAATTGCTGCTGCCTTGACAGGACGCCAAGGTTTGTTTCTCTGATGATACGTTCCCAGATGGTTTCAGTGTGATGAAAGGGGATATGGTGGCATACCAACCTTATGCAATGGGAAGAATGAAGGCCATATGGGGCGACGATTGTGAGCAATACAAACCAGAAAGATGGCTGAACGACAAGGGAGTTTTTCAGCCTGAGAGTCCATTCAAGTTCACCGCCTTCCAGGTCAATAAGCTTATATGATATCCCAAGTTGTTCAATTCACCTTTTCTTTACCATTGTGACCAAAGCAGTCAAAATCGGAATTTTAGCTAAAATCGAAAACTGGGGTAAAATCGGAATCGTAAAATCGAATCGTAGGATTTTAAGTACCACATAGAAATTAACATATAATAATATTAATAAAGTAAATCATTAATAACACAAAGACATAAAATTTAAAGTGATAGTTTTCAATTCTAATGTTCCAAAATCATCAATTTTATTGTTATTTAATGCGTGACTCAAATTAATTTATGAGAAAGGGATAGAGCTCATGGAATTTGGCTCTTGTTTTTCATGTTGTGTCTAGGTATTTTAACTCAAAGTAGTATTCCGATATCGTCTACTAAGTATGATTTAAAATTAAGAATAAGTGAACTCCAATAATAATTTTAATGTCATTGGTTTAGTACAAATATATTCATTAATCAATAAATTTGTTAATAATGATGTTAGTTCTTTCATACTTACAATATTATAACAACTATTTTTACCGATGAGTTAAACAAGGGGAAGGGAAAGTGGTTGACCGAACCCTAATTAGATTTTTTTTTCTTTTCAAATGTTCTTTTAATAGGAAAAATATCTGATAAGATCCCCGTCATTCCCCTTTCCACCGAATAAGTTATGCTTCTTTTTAATTGGCTCAAACTGCCTATTTTGCTCAAATAGGATCAAAATCCCGATTTTGGTACGATTTTAATCCCGATTTTAAGGTCCATTGATTTCATATTAAAATCAGGATTGGAATCTTTAAGTAAAATCCTAAAATCCTACGATTTTACGATCAAAATCTCGATTTTGACTGCACTAATTATGAATACAAGTTTTGGTGGTGGTGGTGCTTTTCAACAGGCGGGGCCGCGCATTTGTCTGGGGAAGGAATTCGCTTACAGACAGATGAAGATATTCTCAGCTGTTCTGGTAGGGAGCTTCGTTTTCAAACTCAGTGACGAAACGAAACCGGTCAACTACAGAACAATGATCAATCTTCATGTTGATGGAGGCCTCCATGTTCTCGCTGCCCATAGACACAGCAGGAGCAGTAGCTAAATAAAACAACTGCACCAAAGCTTGCCATCCATGAGGACAAGGATGCACACGTACACTTGAGCCATCTTCTATCTACATCTATCTGCACATAAAAAAAAATAAGAAAACTCGAACTCTCATTTCAAATTTTCTACATCTAGAGCGAAAGTAGAAAGGGTAGATTTGTTTTCACAATCATTTTGAATCGTAACGCAAATGTAATTGGTTCAAATATTGTATATCGAATTGCACTATTAAATGTGCAGAAGCGATGTAGAATTCTTAACATAGACCTAATTTTTATAACTACCATAACACAACGATACTTTTTAATACGGAAGTTTTGGATGAATATGGGGAACATGTGTCTTTAAGAGGAGTAAATATGGAAAGGTTAAGTGATGTTGATTTGCCGAACACGGATGAAAAAGACACTAATAATGTAAACTGGAAGAATAGTGCCCCGACCCACTAATCGCATTGTTGTCTCTCCAAACTTCTCATCAGAATCAACAACAAGCTAACCTCCCCAATCTCTATTGTTACGCCATAGCAATTTTCGGAGGAGCAAATATGTAAAGCTTGAGTGTTGTTGGTTTGCCGAATGTGGATGAAAAAGACGCTACTAATGTAAACGGGCCCAAATAGCTGCCCAGCCCACTAAACACTCAACCACCGCGTTTACTTTCGCTACACCTAATATAATATTGAAATGGGAAAGGCACTTCCCTCATTACAAAATCCTTGCATCCATAGCGAAGTAGGAAGGATTGATTCGTCTTCATAGTCATTTATTATTTTCTTATTTATAAAAAAAATACATTAGTAATTGGATTTGATTTGTGGTCTCTTTTTTTGAAAAAATACAAGAAACATAACCAGTTACACTAAACAAATTTGTTTATTCTTTTTAAATTAAAAACATACAAAAAGCTTATATCTGAAAAATCATAGAAATTTTTCACCATGGTTAGCTAACCCACAAACTCTCCCAGAAATATTCTTTTGGTATTTGACACTTCTATTTTCATATTTGATTGTTTTAATTAGAGTTTATTTTTTATTATTTTTTTATGAATTTTTAATTACAGTTTAATAATTAATTCTATTTATGTTTTTATAAAAGAGAATAATTTTAAAATCGCAACCCTAACGTCATTGGTGCAAATATTGCATATCGAATTACAGTATTGAATGTGTAGCAATGCAGAATTCTTAACATAGACTTAAATTTTATAACTACCATAAAACAACAATATTTTTGAACACATAAGTTTTCAGTGAATATCTAGCACATATCGAAGAAGTGAGAGAGTAGTGAGAGAAAATCCTCCCAGTTTCTTGGCGAGCTAGGGTTCCAACTAGGGTCTGGCTGGCCGTACCGGCATCTGCGGTGTTGCGATTTCTTTGCTTCAGGATCGGTGGCTGTTGAATCGAGTGTTTTGGGTACTGAGGGGGTCCCTGTCAAGCCTTGGGCGGAGCTGTTTGGCATCGCTGGGGCGAATCGTCTTGCATATATTCCGCCGGAGGTTTTCAAGGGAGGAATTCGCATGCCAAAGATAGTTTGTGGTGAAGGAGCAGCCCGATGGAAACACAGTTTGGTCGGTCAGTTCCTCCATCCCACTCTACCTTCTCTTCCGGAACTCCGTCGCTGGGCGAACAAATTATGGGGGCGAGACGGTATCGTTCGTGTTTTTTTGTTTGAAATCAATTGATCCTTGTTCAGCTCCCAACCCAGGAAACATGTGATTGGATCCTGGATAGCGGGCCTTGGTTCTATTCAGACAATATGCTATATCTTCGACCATGGACCCCGAGGATTGATGTTGAAGATTTGGGGACTAAGGCTCTGCCTATCTGGGTTAGATTCACAAATGTGTCGTTGGAGTATGTTAATTTTCAAGGTTTGAGTCGAATGGGGAGTTGGCTAGGGATCCCGCTGGGTGTTGATCACACTACGAGGATGGGTGGTCGTCTTGGCTGTGCGAAGGCTCTTGTGGAGTTGAAAGCTTCGGGTGAATTTCCTGATCATGTTCTTATATGGCCAACTGAAGATCGTTCAATTAGGGTGGGTGTGGCTTATAGCCATCTTCCCCCTATCTGTGGACACTGCCAATCCTTTGGCCTCAACTGTGGGTGTGGTAAGCAGGATCGTGCTCTGAAGGATAAGGGGAACCAGGAGAATAGGGAAGTGGAGCGTGTCTGGGTAAGGAAGAAGACTGGGGGCGATGAAACTAAGAATAATCCTAACCAGAACAGTGGTAGTCCAGTCATGATAGATAAAGGGAAGAATGTGGTATCTGCAGGTTCTTTACATCGTTCTAGTCTTATGATTGGATCAAACTGTGTTGGTATTAATCTGGAACATACCTTCCAGTCAGTTATAGAATGCAGTTCGCCACAGCTCCCAACAGAGGATGAGTTTCAAAGGATGGTGAATGGAGCAAGGCCTAGATGTTGGTCACCTCTTCCTAGTTCCACCAGTGTGCTGCAAACAACTCAAGCGTTTGCTGCACTGCAGGGGTTAGGAGATAGAGAGATTACTCAATTGCAAGATGCTCCTAAGAAAGGTGGTAGAAAGGGTGGGGGTTCTCAGTCCCCCCAGGATGAAGATACTATTCTGGAACATTAGAGGGTTTAACAAGCCCTCTAAGAGAAGGGACTTTTCACAAGTCCTGAGAAAGTACAAGGTGGATGTGGTGGCTATACTTGAAACAAGGGTAAGGAAGGCAAAATCTGATGAAACTGTAGTGAATTTCTGTGTAGGTTGGAAGAAGTATCTCAATTACTTTGAAAGTGATCTAGGTAGAATTTGGCTATTCTGGGATCCAGACATTGAGCTTAGAGTTCTTGCCCCCAGGAAGAATTATGTGCATTATGTGGCCCCGGAGTCAAGTGGTGCTAGTTGTTTCATTACAGCTGTTTATGCGTCAAATGATGAGATAGAAAGGAGAGACACCTATAGAGACCTGACTAGGTTCAAATTATCTTCTGCCCCTTGGATTGTTGGAGGGGATTTTAACTCTGTCTTGTCCCCAGTGGAAACTTCTAATTTGACCATGGTAATTAGTTGTATGTTGGATTTCAAAGGTTGGGTTGATGATATGGAACTGGTTGATCATAGGTCGACTGGACCTTTCTTTACTTGGACGAACCGGCAAAAGGATAACCCTATTGCCAGAAAACTCGATCAGGCCCTTGTAAATGAAGCTTGGTTTGATGTTTTTCCTAGTTGTGGTATTGATATCTTGGTAGGGACTTTCTCAGACCACTGTGGGGTATGTGTTGATACAAAACCAGGGCAACGAACTCTACCTAAGCCTTTTAAGTACTTTGAGCTTTGGGCTGGTCATCCTGACTTCCTCAAAATTGTAGGAGAGGGATGGTCTACCCCTGCTCAAGGGACCCCGTTACTGGTTGTAAGGACTAAGCTTAATGCTGTCAAGAAGGCGCTGAAGAGGTTGAATAAGGAAGTGTTTAATGATATTAGTGGACAGGTGAGAGCAGTAGAAGGGCAATTGTTTGCTGCTCAAGATTTGGCTCTATCCAACCCAACTGGTGATGTTTTTGCTTAAGTAGACTCCCTGAATTCACAACTGGTGAAACTGAAGAAGGATGAGGAGAGCTTTTACTGGCAGAAGTCTCGGGTAAACTACTTGAAGCTTGGGGGACCAAGGTAACAGATTCCTTCATCAATCAGTTAAGATCAAAACTGCTAGGAAGGCTATAAGGAAACTAGTGCTTGAGGGGGGTGAGGAGGTAGTTGAGATGGACAAAATTGCTGATGAAGCGGTGGAGTTTTATAAAAATTTATTTGGCTTCATTGATCCAGAGGTAAAACCTTGCAGAGAGCACCTGGAGGGCCTGGTAACACATAGACTGAGTGATGAGTAGAGGGCTTCCTTGTGTCAAGGCTTCACAGCTGATGATGTGAAAAGAGTTGTGTTCAGCATGAATACTCATCGAGCCCCTGGCCCTGATGGGTTTTCGGCTTGCTTCTATAAGCGCACATGGGGGGTTATAGGAGAGGATGTCACTGCTGGGATCCTGGAGTTCTTCACTACAGGTAAACTTCCTAGTAGTATTAACTCCACTGTTGTGTCCTTGATACCAAAAGTCACTTCTTCTTGTAAATTAAAAGAGTTTAGGCCAATCTCCTGTGTGAATATCCTCTACAAAATCATTGCCAAGTTGATAGCAAACAGGATGAGGAAGGTTTTAGCTAGTGTGATCAGTGGAAATAAGTCTGCTTTTATTGAAGGGAGGAGAATAGTTGATAATATTTTAATGGCACAAGAGCTTGTGAGTGGCTATCATAAAAGTAATATGTCTTCTCGTTGTGCTATTAAAGTAGACCTCATGAAAGCGTTTGATTCAGTTCACTGGGGTTACTTGTTTCTCATGATGGAAGTAATGGGATTCCCCCAGAGGTTTATTTACTGGATTAGGCTCTGTGTTAAAACAACAAAATTTAGTATTTGTATAAATGGTGGACTGTGTGGGTTCTTTGGGGCACAGAGGGGGGTGAGGCAGGGGGATCCCCTCTCACCTTACCTGTTCACAATTGCAATGGAGGGGCTATCTCTTATCTTGAATCGAGCTGCAACAGAAGGGACCCTAGCTTTCCATCCTCAATGCAAAAAAGTGGGGTTAACCCACTTGTGTTTTGCTGATGATCTTCTCATCTTCACAGAGGGCTAAGGTCAAGCTATTTAGAAGGTTCAGGGGATATTGAAGGAATTCCATACCATTTCTGGCCTAAAGTGCAATCCAGGGAAATGTGAGGTGTATTTTGGAGGGAAGTTTGTGCAGTTTAAGCAGAATGCTTTGCAACTTTCAGGGTTTGAGAGGGAGATTTACCTGTTAGATATCTGGGTATGCCTCTTATCTCAGGGAAGTTACCTTCTAGTGAGACTGACAAGCTGGTGGCCATAATTACGAAAAAGATCAACTCATGGAGATCAAAGAAGCTTAGTTATGCTGGAAGGTTGCAACTGGTAACGTCAGTGTTGATGGGAACTCTTCAATATTGGATGCAGATCTTTATTTTGCCCAAAAAAGTGATCAAACAAGTTCAAATGGTATGTTCAAGGTTTCTCTAGCATGGGGGAGAAGAAGGACGTGCTAAAGTGAGTTGGGGGAGGATGGCAAGGCCTCGACTGGAAGGAGGTTCGGGTTTACGTGAGCTAAGTGCCTGGAATAAGGCCTGTACAGTCATATTTCTCTTGCTATTCTTAATGAAAAGTGGAGCTATCTGGGTGGCTTGGTTTCAGC